TCATGTATCAAAATTTGTACTACGCGGAAAATTTAAGTATCTCGCGAAATTAACGAAAAAATAAAGTATCTTCCGAAAATTTGCACAAACACAAATCACTTTTGAAGTATATGGATAAAAACGGCAACACTGTTCACAATAGAGACACCATGTACACGGTGAGCATTGCTTCGTTTCGGCCATCGTACAGTTCCATAAGTAAAGTAACTCTTCTTCTTACCGTTTTTTCTGGCAGGCTGTAGGTGTGTTTTTGGCAGGCTGTAGGTGTGTTTTTGGTTATTGTATTGGTGTTTTTGGTTCAGTGTGTTAGTGTATTTTGAATAAATTGTAATAGAAATAAATGAAATTGTAATAGAAATGAAAGAAATTGTAAAAGATAAGAGCACATGCCAAAAAACAGGTGATCTCAGCTGTAGGCATATTTTGGCAATCAGCTGATAGTGTTTTTACTTATGAAACTGTACGATGGTTTCGGCACACTGTGTTTCTGTCAATCGTTGCGAACGGATGTTTGGAATTGTCGTCGTTGTATGGTTGCCCAGTGATTTTATGTAAAACAAAAAGCAAAAAAGACAAAAATATAAAATTTTTAATACAACAGTTCAACTTGTATGTATTTGCTGATTATTTGATTTGCTTTGTTTTCTAAGTAAATGTGTATGTTTGCTCTCAGACGGTTGCGGCGGATGTGTATCGATAGATGCGAAAAGTAAAATAAATAAAAGAAATTACCAGTGAAACAAAAAAAAAAGAGAATTTCATTGCGTTAATAAAGGCTAAATCGAAAAGAAGAATAAACTTAGCCAAAGTTAATCAAAAAGGAAAAGTTTGCTTTGGAACCATCTTACTTGTCAAACCGTGCGAATGTTGTAAAACGGAAACGGATATCTATGTAACTTCGATACCCCGCACATCCAAATAAAGACGTACATAGTACATATGTACATATGAAAGTAGTTAACATACATATGTACATACATACATAGATGTGCATGTACATATTTATATATCTGTGTACATATAGCAAGCGCATATTTATGTTCGCTTTCGTGTGCGGGAAATATAAAATACATATAGTACCTACACGTATATACTATGTATGTACATCCATATGTATATAATTACCTAAAGGGTGTAACAAAGATGGTGCAAATGAAACATCAATATTTAAAGTGGTTTTAATTTTCAATACGGTTATTAATATCAGATATATGTATGTGTGTTTATATATGTACATACACAAAAATCCAATGAGTGTAAAAATCTACCAAAATAATTAAAAAACAGACAAAGAGCTCATATTAACAATATACATACATCTATACATATGTGTATGTATGTACGACATAAAAAAGTACAATTTCCTACTCTATGTACATATATACTTATGTATTTGTGCAAATTTAATCTTTTTCTTCAAAGCCTTCAACAAAAACAGATAAGAGTTGAAGTACTTAACAGTACGAAACTCTAAAAATAAATAACATCAAAGAAACACTATTTGAAGTCAACATGCGTAACTGAGAAGATAAAGAAAAAGGTATGTATTAACCCATGTATGTATGTAAAACATTTGTATGGATACATATGTATGTACATTAGACTGCATCACCAAAAAAAGTTGCGGCTTTTCCGCCGGAATTACAAAATTTATTATATTTTAAGACGTCCACCAAAATATTTCGGCAAAATATTAAGATTTAAGCGAGCTGGACCGATTTTAAAATACCTCCAAAAATGGAGTATTTGAACTTTTGGAAAAAGTCCCCTCAGATGACAAAACAGAATAGGCTTAAAAAATCTGCATAAAAATATTTAAAAATCTTTTCAACGGCATCGTAGTAATCAGATTTTTGATTTGATTTTTCCTTTTTTTAAAGATTGATTTAGGAAAAACTAAAATAACTGGGCCAAAAGTATTCTGATTTAGACTTAAGGGATCTTGGTAGAAAGGTATTTTTCCACAATTTTTATTTATGTTAAAAAAATACCAACACATCTTAGTTCAACTTTGAATGATATTCGTTCATCCTACCTTTCTCTTTCATTCTTTGAATGAGCTTATTAGCAAAGAAATTCCTTTCCAATGATACCTCACAAGTCTAAATCGGAAGGGTTTAGGTTCAGTTATTCAAGTTTTTCTTATACCAATCTTTGAAAAAGTTAAACAATAGCATCAAAAATCTCAGTATTACGATTCCGTTCAAAATTATTATTATTTTTTTAATATTTTTATGTAAATTTTTTAAGCTTAAACCGTTTTTTCATTTGAGGGGATTTTTTCAAAGAACAGCTTTAAGAAACTAATTGTATTCATAAAAAACTCAATTTTTCGAGGTATTTTCAAATCAGTCCAGTTCGCTTAAATCTTAATATTTTTCCGAAATATTTTGGTGGACGTCTTAGAATATAAAAGATTTTATAATTCCAACGGAAAAACAGTAGCATTTTTTTATTTTATGGGGAGTGATGCGGTCTAATGTACATACATACCGAGCCCTAACCGCCTAAATAACGTAAGCGAATTTTTTGCTTAACATTTTCTTTTTGATGCAGAAATGCATCTACTAGAGCTCTAGCAATATTTCTGCATCAAAAATACAATTTTGAAAAAAAAATGTCGCTTACGTTATTTTGGCGGTTTGGGTTCGATATGTATGTATGTATATAACTTATTCGAAGTTAAGGTTAATCATAGGTTCATAAAGTTTTTTCAGGCCTCGCAATTTCTTTTCACTTTTCTTATCTTAATTAGGTAACCTACAACAACAAAATAATTAATTTTTTTATCAATCAGATTTTCCTCCTCAATATAAGAAAAGTATTTTCTTGAAGTAAACCGTAAAAATTTCTTATAAATCTTTTTCAATTCTAATACGGCTGTGTAAACTGACATTGAGCAATACCACCAGCTCCGTCAGAATTGGGAAGGACCTATCCTGATGTTAAAGAAGATAATAATAGCGTTTTCTTTTCTCAAAAAAAGTTCTGCCCTTTTATTTGGGAACTCTTGCTTTGCGTTGCCCTGAAACCTCAGAGAATCCATCACAATTTATTTATAGAACTTAATAAAGCTGAATTATTCACTTGGCCTGTAAGTCTTTAACAATTTTAAAGCAAAACACTTACATATTTCTGATAGGGAAAATAATTGCATTTTTACAAGACTAAATTAAAAATCAACCATGCAACTCTCCCACTCACGTTTATTTGAGGGCAGAAAAGGCAGCACTTTCGCCGGATCAGAGCGCAACACAAGACAGAATAAGTGCAGCCTTTTTTCGAGAAAAGAAAACGCTAGAAGATAAGCGGAACTGCACCGCTAGGGCACAATTCTTTACAAGAGCGTACAATTGCTTACGTATGTATGCCGAGTCCATCAACATCATCGGTAAAAACAAGAGCTATTTCGTTTCTGCCCTTTCAGAATTAGATAGAGAAAGAAAGCGTGTGGGTCTGGTACTGAACGGTGACAAAAGGAAGTACATACATATCTCCTGCAATTAAACAAGCAGTCAGAGCGCAATCGTCTCGGCACCCACTTTCCTGTTGACAGTTAGAATTTCGAAAAAGGAGACTACTTCGCGTTTTTAAAACCAGCGTTACCACTCTTGTCAATAAGTGCTACTTTTGACTGAGTAGGGAATTTAGAAGTAAAGTCCTCTCTTGTTGGTCAAAAATCACACTCTATAAATCGCTCATCATGCCCATGCTGGTGTGTTTCGCAGAAGCATAGATAATGAAAACATCTGATGAGACGGCTCTTGGAGTTGTCGAGAAAAAGATTCTGCGGAACATTATTTACGGGCCTTTGCTGGCAAATACCGCAGACAATGGAACCATAAGCTGTATGAGCATTACTATTTACGATATAGACATGTCGTACGAATGGAAAGATATGCTGCAGCTCTGAAAATATACAACGCGGATCGCGATGCTGCTAACAGAGGTAAAGGAAGACTTCGTGTGTGATGAAAAGTCCATGTGGAGAAGGACTTGGCTTTATTTGGGATTTCCAAATGGCGGCAGTTAGCCCAGAAGGGAAACAACTGGCGCGATCGGCCAAAATTGCTTTGGCGGTTATTGCGCCAGTCAAGAAAAAAAGAAGAATGCAAAGAGTACTCGTAAACGACAGTAAAAGTTGCGATTTAATAATTTGATGGCAAATATAGCCAATATCAAAAAATAGCCAACGTGTAGATTCGATAAATACCTCACCTTCAATTAGCTATGAAAAAATACCTTAAAGTAAGTTGTAAAGTCAAGCAGGAGTCATGCATACATTATCGGGAGGTGGTTCTCTTTAAAGCAGTTTCTGTTTAAATGTCCTCTTACAAAAGTTACTTAGGAAACACTTTTTTCTGCACTTCGCTGATGCTTTTTTCGAATTTAGGACAAGTAAAATGAAGATCGAAATTTCATATTATCGTTTTGATGTTATGTTTGACGAAATTGGGACCACCTGCAGCGAAACATGTAGTAAACAAATATATAATCTTAAACAATGTAAATAACTAAATATCGTTAGCTTAATATAGAAAGGCCCAAACTTATTTTATTTTCAAATGCAGTATTGTACAAATGTCTGCCGATAACTCACTAAGCAAATACTGGATTTTACAAATATTTACTACAGTCCTTTAAAAGAAGTTCGCAGAAAAAGGACTTGA